AAGACGTGTCTGTTCTTTACACTTTAATTTGACAGATATAACTGAGCCCCATTTATGTACCAGGCACTGGGTATGAAATGACAAGGGGAGCACTCACAGTCATTGCCTTTCAAGACAGCATCCTGTGGCAGTTTGCAAGCTGGGTCTGATTTATGAAATAACTGGTAACATTGGAATTCTGCCGAAAAATACTGAACTAATAATCAGACTTGTTTTGTAATCTCAGTGTTGCCGTTTACAAGTTGTGTGACCTTGGACAAGTCACTGTGTCTCTCTTAGCTCTAAGTTTCTCTCCCATTGGCCACAATGGGATGGTTCCTTTCTGATCTCAAATTGTCTGATTCCTTGAGAGTAAGTCTATTGGGAAGGAAAGCTAGCATTTATGGTAGAGCACCTCTCACCGGTCAGCTGTCAATCCATCCTTTAAACCACCTCGATCCTGTGCGTGGTTTATCCCACAGGACTCCGCAGCCTCCGCTCTTCTCACCATATCCTCTCTCTGCCAAAGGACAAGTGTGCTCTCGCCTTAAGATCTTAACTGTTGAGAAAGAATAATTGTCTAAATGTATAGACTGACTGGTAAAACTAGCCATATTTTAGGGTAAAAAGGGGAGGGATACTCAAATTCTCATTATGTACAAAATTCAAAATAGCAAGTCAGGTGAGGGAAACGTAATGAAGACCAACACAACCCCTGGACTCACCGTATGTTTTACCTGGTTAGTATAAGGATGCCGCAAAACAGACAGGAATAGTAATTCAATCGATCTGGTTCCAGTAAGGCCACCAAAACTGAGAGGCCATCTCTTGCTATTAGATTTTGAACTTTAAACAATTTTAGGGGAAAGTTCTACTAGTTAACCAAATACTGATCTCCCAGAATCTTTGTATGAAAATCTTTGTAAGATCAGTAAGTCTTACAGAAAGTAATAAATGTTGAACAATATGAAAAAGCAAGTCAGACCCACTAAGAAAGCCACAGTTCAACCCAAAATGGAAGCATTTGAAAGGTATATTGCCAAGACGGCCTTGTCGAAATTTCTGACGTACAGTCTATAACGTCTGGTTTTCAAAGCCTCACTCTCCGTTCTGCCTCCATGTCAATTTCTAGGTCTGCCACGAGAAAAACGTCTTCTTCAGCTGCCTCGGTGAGGGGTGGGGCAGAGGAAGCCTGAAATCTTCATCCCCACGGGAGCACTCTGAGATCTGCCACACACAAACGGACTACTGCCAACCCCTGACCCACACGCCAGGAAGCCCAGCTGATTCTGAAGCAACATTTGGTTGTGTGTTGTAAACAGTGATCTATTCATAAAAGTATACTCTATATTGCACCAGGCTCACTTTTGCTCAGGACCAAAACCTGCTGTTGCCAGAAATAACAAGCGTATTTGCTCTTCAGTTCAAGGTAATGGCTCACTAACGAGATTACCTCCTTCATTCGAACAGATTTTTTCTGCTATGTGGAGACTGGGAATATGAGAACCCCTACTTAATTGAATGTCCCCTGAACATTATACCGCTTTGAAAAAAATCATTGTTTTGACGACATTGTTGACATTTGAAATAGAAGAACAGTTCACAGTGGGGACACCTAACGCTCAGATCCAGCAAACAGGAAGGACTTCACGAGCTAGACTGAGGAGAGTAATCCACTGATCGAGGCCATGGCTCTGGATCCCAAAGTGTGGGGTTGAACCCTGCTTTCCTGCCTACTACTGGGTGGTCTTGGGCAAGTTTGTAATGTCTAAATCTCAGCGGTACTAACAGCATTAAAGTTAGCGGGAGGTTTACGTGAGATGCTGCATTAAAAACATTCTGCACCACATCTTGCTCATGTTTAAAGGCATACATTATGTGACATACATAAATACAGTAGTTATTGCTGTTTTTATTACATCGCCAGGGCTGCCATAACAAAATACCAAAGATTTGGGGGCTTAAACGACAGAAGTGTATTCCCTCACAGTTCTGGAGGCTTGAAGTCCAAAATCAAGGTCAGTAGGGTCAGTTCCTTCTGGGGCCCGTGAAGGAGAATCTTGTCTGGCTTCTCGCCTCGGCTTGTAGACGGCCATCTTCTCTCTGTATCTCTTCACATTGTCTTCCCTCTGTGCATGGCTGTGTATCCGAATTTCCTCTTGTTATAAAGACGTCAGTCATATTGGCTTAGGGCCGAATCTAGACCTCATTTTACCTTAACTTCCTTAGTAAAGAACCAATCTCCAAATACGGTCACATTCTAAGGTTATGTCTTCGACATATGGATTTGGAGAGGACTCAATTCGACCCATAACACTGTCGCTATAAATAATAATAATAATTGTTATTAATACTGTTATTATTATGGTCATTTTTGGATCAGAAGTCATGCATTCCAGGGAAGTACAGGGTGTCTTTGAAACTGAGAATTCTTAACCAGTGCCTTGAATGTAATCGACACCTTGGAGGAGTGAGTGGCTGTAAGAAGGAAAGAATGGGTGAATGGTGGGCAGGATATAAGTATCATTAAGGATTCATATTCAGCAGGGTTGGGGTAGGTGACAGAGCTCCGAGCATCTGGGGGATGAATTGCAGCCATGAATAAGGAACCCCATAAGAGCCTGCAGTTCTGAGGCCGTGAGAATAGGACAAAGCAAGAACGTCTGTCACAGAGCAACGAAGCTCAGTAAGAGAGGTGCAGCAAAACAGGCTCGATGCTGACCTGGGTTCCCTTACCATCTCCCCACTTACCAGCTCTGTGACTGGGCAAGTTACTTAACTGCTCTGAAGCTCAAGATCGGCCAAAGCTGAATGTTCTGGAGCTGGAATAAAGAGTCAATGGGGTCATGTATATAAAGCACCTAGTTCAGAGCCTACGCATCATAGGTGCATAAAAATGTTTCTTTCCTTCTTACAATCAGATGAAGTTCCACAATTCTGGACCCTTGGGGATGGCCCCAGGCAGCCTGGGGATGACCACATGGCAGTCCCAGAGAAAGCACCGAGGACACTCCTCATGGAGAAGCTGTGAAGTCATCAGTGCACATAGAGACCCAGCTTGCAGAAGGCAGCCGGGGCTCCATCTGCATCTCCTCAGAAGCTCCTGAGGAAGCTGTCCCCAAAGGCGACCCAGAGGAGATGGTCCTATTCTGAATTAGGTTGCATTGTCACCGAGTTGATGGCACAGTGGGAATAGAAGCTTCTTTGGGGTAGAAGAGCCTCAATGGATATTTGGTTATACTCAGAGTTTTTTTCTCTGATCTTGTGTTGTTTGATTTTAATATAAGAAAAAATCTGCTTTATTTCAAAGATCAAACTCTTTTTCCTAAGAAACCATAGTATTATTTAATATATACCTACTAGCCAACTATAACTGAATACAACTCAAAAATGAGAAATAAGAATGTCCTGTTAGGGAAGCCTCGTACACTCTTGGTGGGAATGTAAACTCATGCAGCCACTATGCAAAACAGCATGGAAATTCCTCAGAAAATTAAAAACAGATCTACCACACGATCCAGCTATTCCACTTCTGAGTATTTATCCAAGAATATGAAAACACTAAGTTGAAAGGATATATGCATTCCCACGTTCATTGAACCATTATTTAAAATAACCAAGATATGGGAACAACCTAAGTGTCTACCAATGAATGAATGGATAAAGAAGATGTGGTACACAGTCATTCATCTCTTAACAATGGGGACATGCTCTGAGAAATTCGTCATTAGCTGCATATGGTACTAATCTTGTGAAACCATCGTTGTATATGGAGTCCATCGTTGACCAAAATGTCATCATGTGCCACATGACTGTATATATACAATGGAATACTACTCAGCCATAAACAAGATAAAAATCCTGCCATTTGTGACAACATGGATGAACTTTGAGGGTATTATGCTAAGTGAAATAAGTCAGATGGAGAAAGACAAACGTGATATGATTTCACTTACATATAGAATGGGAAAAAAATGAACAAACAAAACAAAAGCAGACTCGTAGATACAGACAAGAGATTGGTGGTTACCAGAGAAGAAGAGGATTGGAGGGTGAGCAAAGTGGGTAAAAGGGGTCAATTCTATGGTGATGGATGGAAGCTAGACTTTTGGTGGCAAACACACTATAGTGTATAGAGATGTCAAATTATAATGTTGTACATATGAAACTTATATAAGAGTATAAACCAACGTTACCTCAATTAAAAAAAAGAATGCCCTTTTATAAAATCAATGGGAGACGCACAAAAAATCTAATTCAAAATACCTAATTCAACGTGCTGATTGTGAACATGAGTGTAAGTAGCTACGGGGTAGTTCTACTTCCCACAAAATATACTTTTCTTTTTTTGTAAGGAGTATTTAGAAATTCTTCTGGCAACACAAAACCCAGGTAAACAGATCACTTATTAGATTGATTACCAATAAAGAGACTCTATTGCTTAATATAGAAGAGATTCTGGAGCGGAAGAACTTTGGAAAAAGACAAGGTAAAGAAGCCCTCAAAAAAAGGCAGTGAAATTCTCCTACTGATTTGGCAAAACAGCTTCAAGTGTTTCAGGCACCTGATTCAAGTTAATGGTAAATTACGGAAGGGGCGAAAGGATGAAATTTCTTAAAATGTAATTCTTTAGGGCATGGGAAGGAATCAAAGGACACTGTGAAATGGAACACAGATCATGCTTTTTTCAAGGATAATTATTTTTAAATCAACAGCTTAAATATTTCAAGTCCATCTTTGTGAGACAAATGTTTTCTTGGGATGAAAAAACACGTATTTTACAAAGAAATAGCGTATCCAAAAGAACTAAAATATATGTGTAGTGTGTGTACATGTGTATGTACATATGTCTATATACATATGAGTATATATATATATACACATACATCATAAATGTATATATACCACACGTACCTTTTATCACATATACACACTATATATATATATATATTTATATATATATACACATACTGATAATAATTATTTATACCAAATCTATTTCTTAATACCATGATGCCATCCTCACACGGTCACCATTTAATGGAGATGTAGTGTCACAGTGCTAATCATCAGGGCTGGAAGACGATGCTTATATTGACCGTAAAGTTTAATTTTACACTTAGAATTCGTAGCTGGTCCCCCCTACACAACAGGAGTTGAGTATTTCACAGTTCTCAACAGAACTTCATAAAAAACAGTATGAGAGAGACTACTGCTTTTGTGGAAGAAGAAAATTAGTACTTTGAGTGACATTTATAAGAAATGTTGTTGGAATCGAAAGTAAGAATTTGCTTTTAAGGTGAACAGGTGGGTTGGCAATGCCTGTCTTAACAAAGGGGCTTTAGATCCTTGGCCATATTCTGTTTAAGGACTTTTGATAGGAGACCCGTCCCAGAAACTTGGGGTCCGGCCATCTCGTCGGGAAACACCCAGCTCCCATTGCAACATCGTGCAGCGTGTGGAAATGACCCTCTTTCGAAGAGCTCAGACGTGTTAGCACACAGAACGGCTCCAACCAGGGTCAGACCTGAGAAGCCAAACACCACCACCATCCCAGCACTTTACAGTTCTCTGAGAGCAGCCCCCCATCAGAAGCAGTGACCCAGAGCAGGGGTCCAGTTGTCTGTGAACTGGCAGCAGGGTGACCCTGGAGCAATTTTACAGGTAGCCTGCTCACCTTCCACCAGTTGGCTAAAGGACTGAATTTTACTAGCTGTTGGAGATAGTCTGTGATCTTGTTCCAAATATCTGAATAAACTTTTAAGGCCAGAGTGCAATCACCCGGACACATTTCCACATCCACCCGTCCATCAGTCATTCATGATCCGCTCAGTATGGCGCTGGGGGCTGTGGAGGAAAGAGAGAGAGGTAAGGCACCCCCACTCCTTTCAGTGCAGATGGCTAGACTGGGATGCCACACAAAACAGAACAGAGTTCATCAAAAGCACTCTGGTTTTTGTTGTTTTTCAAATATGAACCTTGGATGGGGCCAGCCTTTGTGCCCCCAGTTATTGGCTAAAGAGAAAAAGCTAAACCAAGTGACATAGTGTTGCACTGACAGCACGACTTTGTGGGTTTCAGAAATATGGAGGAGAGGAGATTGGAAAGGATTGGGGTGGTCCAGGGGCTCCCTGAAGAGGAGGGGTCGCAGTGAGGCTTTGAAGGAGAAGCAGGGTCCGTGCAGGCCAAGGGCGAAGGGACTTTCAGAGCTCCCCCAAATCTATAAACAGTCTTTCCCATTTTCTCATTAGTATTTGTCAGCAACATTTACCCTTAACATTCCATGCAAATAAAAAACATTAAAAGCAGTTCCGTCATTAAAGATGACTATTTCAGTGCAAGAGATTTTTGTCTTCATAATCTCCTCTTTGTCTGCACAGAGCAGCTCTTGGCCACATCTCCACCAATAGCCTTTGCTCTGTTTACTTTAAAGAATAAGCCACTGTTTGATTTGGTTTCTCGTTTTCAGTATGTACACCCTGGTCTCTTGATTCTCCATTCCGGGAAGGAAAAATAAAAGAACAAGGCTCTTTAAATACCAGAGCAATGGTTACTTACAGACACGTACGACTTCAATATTTTATGTAACAGCCACTTAGGAAAATGCGTAGGAATTTCCCGGCTGGCAGCCTTGAGCTGGCAGGTGTACCTAAATTGAACCGATCACTTTTTATTTGGCTGTCAATTCGTTTGGTTTTTCTGGCTGCATTGCACCAGAGTGTGTGTTTATTTCAAAAGGTCGTTCACCTATTCCACGGTTCAAAGGGACTATTTTGTTCACTTAAAGGGTCCCTGCAATGATGTGTGAAGATGTAGCTCAGGAAGGTGAGTGAGAACTGTAAGTGGGGCAAACCAGCCACAAAACACAAAAAAAGGAAAATATAATGGAAAACATCATTCCTCGGTTAAAAAGACAAATGAAAAAGGAAGGAAAAAAACCAAAAACACCTCTACAGCGAATCACACTCTGAGTTTTACCAAATACTAGAATCAGTAATCACAGTTCTTGTAAATACTTCTTTATTTTATTCATATTCTGCATTGGCAGCATATTCTAGTCTCCTGCTTGATTTAATTAATCTGGAGCAAATGAAAAGTAGAGATTTATATAAATTTCGTTTTCTATATAGATTTTGTGACCAAGCCACTAGGTGACCTTCAGGGTTTACTCGACCAGATGAACAGTGTCTTACTCCGAGTGTCAAGGTGAAGGGGTCTTGATGAAACAGCTGTAAGTGTGTTCCTGCCCCCTCTCCCAAGCCATAGGGCAGCCCACTTCTGGGGAACAAAAAACTAGATCCTGGCTCCACAGTCTATTTTTTATTCAGAAAAAGCCATTCTGTGGCAAGGATGAGGGACACTGCTTCCAAAAAAATAACAGGTTTTCTATGGATGATTGACGAAAATACTGCTTGGCCGACAATGCAGCTAAGGTCAGCTAGAAAGGGTTGCTGGTATCTGGTTTTGCTGTATTAAAATATTTGATTTGCATGAGATCTTTATAATTATCCTCCTGTGGTCCTCACAGATATTCTGCCTGTAAAAAGGTTGAAGTTTACAATTTACCTGCTACTGTCTACCTGTGTTCACGGTGGCTGCAAGATAGAAAACAGACCTGCTTGGGAGCCAAGAGGCAGTTGAATGAACTCCACCATTTATTGTCCTATGACTTTCAAACATGAGTCCTCTGTGAGTCGGATTTTCCTCAAATGTGAAAATGGGGCTCCATGGCCTGCCGCAGAGCCCAGCACGTGCAGGCTTCAAGGACACGGAGGGCTGGGTGTGGGGTGGCCGCGAGGGGCCCTTGGTGGATTCGGGAGCCTCCGCAAGGCTCCAGAGGCAAACCCAAGCACGCTGGGCCATGTTTCACACCGCAGCAGGTGTGCTGGGGCTGGGAGAGAAGTCAGGCACCCAGATCTCTGTGTTCATCGGCTAACTGACACTTTCGCTGTCTCTCCTTAGGGTCACCCCTGGCAATCTACAGTAGAGAAGCCTCTAGAAGCTCTCCCCTCTGGGCGCGAAGGCAGAGTCGTGGCTGTGAATGCAGGTGTGGTGGGGGAGTCATGGCTGTGTGCTGCCAACCTGGCTCTTCCTGCTGTGGACGTGCTCTGATGAAATCGGGCCCTGGTCACAAACGCGGCACCAACTCTGGGACTCGCCCCAAACAGAACCTCAAATACAAACCAAAACATACTGCGATAATTTGCTGAACCCCAAAGGGAGCCAGATTCAAAGCTTTTATTTTTGAAACTACAAACAGAAGCACAGTTTCAAAAACACCAAGAAAATAGTCTCAACAAGACTTTCCTACAGGACAGAAGTCTGAAATCGTTTTCAGTGTGAAATTGCTACGGGTTTCTTAGTCTACTCTCTAAAATTGCTGAATTCGTTATTAAAACAATAACCTAAATAATCTGATTAACCCTACACTGAGCCGTGCTTAATTTACCCCAAGATCTCTCAATCAAATGGAGTTATAATCGGTGTTATCAATTTAGGTATTTCTGTGACATCTATTCCTGTGACATATTAAATCTAAGTCTCTGTGAGAGAAGTACATTGATTTTTCCACAGCAGAATTTTTTTTTTCGGCTCCAAGAACAGCTGAGGGCTGCAAAATGAGCAGATGGCCACATGGAAGAATCTGCTTGGTTGATAAGGTAGTTTAAAAGAAAAATCACCTTATTGCACCTCCTGGATAACTGTCAAACTAGGTCACGAACACTGTTTGATTGGACCATACCAAAATATTTAAGGTATCGAGTTTTCCAGAGTTCATGATGACTGCCCCACTAAAGGCTGAGCTTAAGCTTTGACCTTGCCTTCGTGCCTTCATTGACAGAGCCTGGCCTGGGACCACAGCCAGCAGCCTGGGCAGCATGTCTATAGTTCCAGTCAGTTACTATACTGACCCCACAATGGTCTTTATAATTAAAACGTACCTGACCTGACTATCACTGAGTAAAACATCATCGTTATAAAATGCGACATGCCACAACTAGAAGGACCCACAACTAAGATATACAACTATGTACAGGGGAGATTTGGGGAGATAAAGCAGAAAAAAATAAAATAAAATGCAGAATGCTGGGCAGCGGTCGCCTACAGTTATACCCAGCCAAGCCTTGAACCTGAATATGACTAAGACACTTTATAAATCCTTGAAAAAATGGTCAGTTGTTTATTAGGGAAAAGAGAATGGTCTTACGAAGGAAAGAACATTTTCTTGACCTGAGAAAACAGAAATACGGAAGGGAAAGTCTCTTCTTGACAGCCTTGCACAGCAAACTTACAGATTAATGAAGATAGTCAAACACAGCACGTCCTCCTGCCTCCAGGTATAATATTTTATTCAGTAAGAGCCGTGTGAGCCTTGATTTACGCAGACTTTCATTAATACGAAAATTCAATCGCAGGTTTCTCTGGTCACCTCCAGACTTCCTTAAATTCAACACCCAGTCAGCTGGTGATGGGCGTTCCTCCCTCGACAGGTGATACCTCCCCAAAAAAGGGAAAACAAGCCAGTTAGAAAGGTGGCCAGACCCAATGGCGTGCGGTGCCTGGATAACGAGGCCTGTTCTCCCCTCAAGTGTCTAGTAAAGCCTTGGCAGATGCCACCATCTTTCAACCGCCCCCACTCAGGTGGAGGGAGAGCCCTGACTTGCACAGTCGCAGGATGCAGCACTGTAAAGGTTTACAGGACAGCTATTGTAAATCTTCTCGGGTAAATAATGTGTGGTCTCCATGGTGGCATGAGATATCCAAAAATTAGTGATTTATTTTCTCCATAAAGTGTGAATGCTTTCCAGTTAGTCCCAAAACTTTAAGAAGTTCTAATTGGCCCCAAATAGAAATTAGATGACGTATTTATCATCGTTCGTCTTCTCAAGCATTTGATTTCATTAGGTTCGTTTATTCATTCACTGACTTGGTTCACTCACCTATCAACCATATCCGAATTGTAGGGAAGGTAGAAAACCATAGGAGGCCTCCAAAATTGTGGTTCTGTTTAACTTTTCTAAACCATTAAAGGGTAGCTCAAATACATAAGTCTACCCGCCAAGAAGGGAAGTGCTGTGCTGTCTCCCAGTTGACTGCGACAGGGCTGTCTGACTCCTGGGGATTTGAAGTCCAGTATTTTAATCTCAGGCTATTCTAAGTCACGCGCTTGCCAGTGACACGGGAGCAGGACTCTCCAGCTACTCAAACGCAGCTGCCCGGTGACGGAAGCAGAGAGGGGGCGAAGGCAGGGACAAAGCCCAGCTGGCTCGCCCCATCCCCCACAACCCACCACGCTGTTGGCGGCCGCTCCCAAAGAAAACAGAAGGGTCGACCTTTCCTTATGCAACTTCTAGAATTAATTTGGTGCTTAAGATCAGAGGTGGATCAAAACGTGGATTACCTGAGGTTGCCTTTGCACCAACAAAGGCATCTCTTCAGCGTGGTGAATTGGCGTGATGGCCCTGGGCCCAGAGCAGTGATCTGAGAAAATCCCTGGTGGCAACAATTAAGCAGTGAGTCTTCAGCGACTGCCAGGAATCTCACTGAAGATTGCAGGGGGAGAGAATTTGTATGTAATCCAATTTAGAACAACATCAACAACTCCATGTTCCCGGTTCCGCACAGGGGAACTCCAGCCCAGGGCTGCCTTCGCAGACGGGGCGTCGGAGCAGAGTTGGCTCTCCAGCTCTGCTGTGCTGTGTGTTGCTAGGTGGTCCTGCCCAAGGCGTTTATCTCACCAAGCCTTAGTTTCCCCATCTGGGTTTTGTGAGGATTCAATGCCAGCATAGAATAAGTGCTCAGCAAATAATAGTTATCATAGTCATCATCCTCCTGGTTGCTGGATGGTTGGAAGCCCACCACTGGAAAGCAAAGACGTTCAGGTAGTTGACCCACCCCTCCTCCCAAACAACAGAGTACCCTAATTACCCTAAGACAAGCTCCTTAGAGGAGCTCTGCGTATTGGAGCTCAGAGGCAAGAAAGTGCTATAGAGCTGTAATTATCAGCTAAGCAGAAGGGAAATTTTAACCTCCCAGCACCCTTGCAGACCTGTGACTACCAAAGTCTTGGAGAAGGCTTCCACAAAGAAGAAAGAGTGAGAGCCACACAAAAAGGAACCTTAGCAAAAGAAAGGAGCCGGCTTTGTGCCCCAGCCTCTCTAACCAAAGGGATGCAGACACTTGAGAGGTGCTAATTGAATGAGTGTTTCTTAAACATATGCCTAATTTTCCAATGGAGGACCTTAGTTCTCACATAAATGGACGGAAAGGGTGTGGTTACTAGTCAAGGAGCAGGAGCATATGCACTTGGCCCTGATATGGGGATGGTCTGGCGGCTCCAGCCCCAGCCCTGACACTCAGGCAGGTAAGGAATTTTTGCCCCCACTGGACGAGGGGTGCCCAGAACATCAGGTCCCAGGTGGCACTGGGGTCCTGGTTGCCATCTGCAGGAGTGGGAGCATCTGCCATGCCTGGCTGATTAAATAATCAGGCTCCACCTGCCTGTTGCCAGGCATTTAATGAACCACCTTTACTGGGAGAAGGAGGAGTCCCAGACGAAGCAATTTTCCCCTAATATCTAACTATCTTTGATTCCACATATTTTATGTGGCAGGCAGTGTGCTGGCTGTTTCCAGCAGGTGATATTTCTAATCCCCCAGTGATCCTGAAGTGTGGGTATTATTGAACCAATTACCTGGGGAAGTAAGGTGAGGCTCCGTGAGGTTGAGTCCCTTGCCCAGCTCGGTGTATGTCAACACCTATCGCATCTTGTTTGCCCTACGCTCTGTTCCTTCCGTTAAGTAGGATTCTGAATGCAAGTGGGCAGGAGAGCTGTCACTAAAGAAGCTGTCACCTGGGGGTAGACTTGGGACCCAGGCTGGAGAATCAGGTTACCCCACAGGGTACCCAAGTGACCGGTCCAGGGGTGAGCATGTGACCCACATGGAGCCAGAGCCATCTTTTAGGAAATTTATATGGATGTTGGGAAAGTCTCTTCCTGAAATTACTAAATCTGAAGAGTTGCAGGCCTAGGACTGCCAGGAGCTTACAGTATCAGGACATAAACCCAGAGGAATACAATGTGGAGAGGTGAAGAGAGAAACAGGCAGATTCCTGGGACTATCATTGAACACAGGGATCCAGCAGTGCCAGAATCTCGGGGCCAGCGCTTCTCAGAGAGGGGTCCCTGGCATAGCAGCAGCAGCATCACTTGGGACCTTGTTGGAAATGCAAATTCTCAGCCGCCCCAGACTCACTGAATTAGAAACTCCCGGTGGGGCTCAGCAATACCTTTTCACAAGCCCTCCAGGTGAGTCCCATGCACGCTCCATTTGAAAACCACTGCTCTAGGTCAATCCATGGAGTTTCTAGTTTCATGAGCCAATAAATTCCTATTTTTTTGCCTTGACTTTGTTTACAATAAGAGAAACAAAACCAAGATAGTTGTGTTATCTTCATGAAAAAATGAGTCTTTTTGTAAATTGCAAGCAAATTTAATTATTTTAGAATAATATGGTTTTCCATATATAAGTTCCTTTGAGGTTGTTTTTAGTTTTGTTTTTTGTTTGTTTATATGTGAGTGGCGGCATCCCTTGATGCCTGTAAGAAGAACGAGGCAATTTGAAGCTACACAGATGGAAAGACTATGACACCGTGAGTGGTACACAGTGGAACGCACACTGGACATATGGATCTGAGTTGCCTGTCATTTAAACAGGAGAATTAACCAGAGAGCAGTTAGCGAAAAGAGTCTGCGCCACAGAGAACTGAGCATGGCTAGAAGTGTAGATCTGGCCTTGGAAAACACCATAACTAAAACAATATAAAACTCTAACAAAGAAGAGAAAATGACAGAAAATGAAATCTTTTAAGAAAGAGTTGAAAGATGGGAAATGAAATGCATCCTTACTTTTGCTAAATCAGTCGAGAAAGAATGGCCCAGAAAGACGCCATAGGAAAACAGAGAAAAGCGAACAGCAAGTGAGGAGACAGAGCTTATTTGTGTGGTGGTGGCCTTAGCGTGTTGCCAACGAAGCAGAATGTGGTCGGTGGTTTAAACACCTCACAGAGGTCAAAGGCCGTGGGCTTAGCAGAGTCCTCTGGACCTGCCAATCAGAAGGCTGGTGAGCTGTCTCAGCAGAGTGGTGGAGACGGGAGCCGAACAAAGGGGAAAGTGAATAAGAAGCCACAAGCAGTGGTCCTGGGGTGAGGGGTACACCATGGGATAAAGAGCTTGGTGTCCGGTGGTTAATGTAGAGCCTGGAGGAGGGCCTGTCCCAGGGGAGGGGCCTGTGGCGTGCTTGATAACTGAGTAGAGGAATGAGTACAAAGCAATGGAACACAGGACAGCCTACGAGGCAACATCCTTGAAAAGGTGGGGAGGCTCATGGGTATAGGTATGTGTGAGAGACAGACAGACAGACGGAGATAGAGAAATCATGTGGCTCGGGGCAGAGGGCGGCTAGAGGCTCTGACTTCCGACTCCTGGGTTTGGCTTCTTCCACCCATAGGTCTGCACTGTGTCTCTCCAGAGCCATTCCTCTGAGCCTCCAAGCATCTCTTCATCTGTGCATCCCACAAATGTGCAGCGAGCACCTTACGTGCCTGGCAGTGTGGCTGCGTACAGGGACAGGAGCAACACCCAAGGGGGTGGTGGAGGGTAGGGACAGGGGCTTTAACCCCTGCCCTGTATGTTCTCCATCAACCCTTCACGCCACCCCTAGTATACACTGACTGTAAGTTAGAACATTGTACTTGCTATGAAATTCAGCTTCGAAACAAGTGCCCTCCCCAGATCACCACCTCCTACAGATCACCGTCCTCCCTGTAGGAATCAGGGGCTGCCACTGTCCTGGGATCTTTAGACGTGAGAACACAGAAGACAGAAACTGTGATTGCAGAAGCTCAAAGTCAAATGAAGGAGGCAGACGCTCAGCCAACAGTGACAACACTGAGCTGTTAGACCCAGGTAGGCCCAGGGTGCTCCAGTCTATATCTGGGAGGCATAGGATTCCATCAGAGGAGCAAGGAATGTTCCCAGCGGGAGTGAGAATGGCCTGAGCCTCAGAGGAAAATATGTGCTATCTAGTCGGAGAAGGAGAGGGGACTTATAAAGAGAGCCAAGAGGATGTACTGGAAGAAGCAGGAGGGCAGCGTGAGCAAGTCCACGGAAACGCAAGGTATCTGGCAGGCCCCTAGCAAGAGAGGAACCCCACAGGACTGCGATGCCAGGCTGGTGCTCTGGCTTTCTTCTGCAGATCCCCGGGGAGCCCTGGGGCCTGCAGACAGACAGCTCTGCCAGCATGGCGGAGAGGAAGGAAACCCTTGCCAAAGGCCAGGGGTTATAGTAACAACCCAGGCGAGATACAGGCGTGAGTGGAGCTCCAAATGGAGACAAAGGCAGAGGAGGTGGGACAGGTGGGACTCCAGAGGAGAGGTCTTAACTGGGCCAGAAGAGGGTAGGTGGAAAACCATGAAAATGTATGCAAATTTTGCATACATGTGCAAATAAGAAATATAGATTTCTTCCTAGGAAAGTTTTAATTCTTAAAAGAAGTCTGTGACCCGAGAAAATGTCCTTATTTTGGAGATGCTTGGCTGTCTAGTGGCCAGACAGGGTACTTTACTGGATCCTGAGAGGCAGGAGGAACACGGCATCACTTCCAAGCTCTGGCTCCTCCCTCGCAGGGTGATTAAGGAGGGGGGGCCAGTTCGAAGGTACCTTGCTCTCGAGTTACCTGTGAGCCCTCAAGAGGGAGAGTCAAAGGCACACGCGTGTTCAGATGCCGTGAGTCTTCCGGCCGCTGCACCTGCTCTTTAAGTGGGTTAATCGTTCAGACACTGAATGAAGCTGTTCCAGTTCAATCCAGGGAAGACCTGTCAGCTCCGTGTCTTCACATACCGCCCCCCTTGAAGGATCAGGGCTCAGCCGGACGTGGATTCCTGCCCAGCGAGGATGTGCGACACTCTGCCCAGGTCAGAGTTCGTGACCTCGGCCCAGGCAAGCGCAGGACGTTTCCCGCCCGCGCAGAGCAGCGTTAGGCAGCCGCTCTCCCAGGTCCATGCTGCTTTCAGGCTGGGCCCAAACAGTTGCCTGCAGCCACTGGCAGCCCTCGGTGGTTTCGTAAGTGGAGGGTGCCTTGCAAATTAAAAACAGCAGTGTGCAAGTCAAAGGCAATGTTTTTAAGCACAGAAAGAGGAATACCACTGTGGGGGGTGGGGGGTAGATAAAAGGGCTTCCAGCACCTCAGATGCTGCTCACGCACACCAGCCCGTCTGCGCCTTTAGACTGGAACTCCTGTTAAGTGTCCCCGGGTTTCACAACCTGAACGCTGCCCGTAGTGATGTAGTTTGAACATTAACCTGGCTCTTCTTCCCACTGCTGTTTTACATATTAATTAAAGTGTTTTCCTCAGCTCGGGAATGCCTGCAGGCTGGTTGGTTCTGCAGAGGCGCTTCATCTCCCGCTGCTCCGCCCAGCCGGGCTGTGCAGAGTTCAACCATTAAAACTTTCCCAGGTGGGCAGCAGACGCCAGTCCTGCCTTCACTGGCGTCGTCAGAGGGAACGTGCGCTTTAATATGGCCTTGAGAAAGGGCACCGCTTCTTGCCCACCAAGGCGGGCCGGGCAGCGCTGGGTGAGGGCGTGCACTGTGGGAGAATCGCTGCAAAGTCGTCCGACGATTATCTCCAACGCAAGTCACCTCTTTCAGGAGCCTACTTCTTTCTGTCCCTTTTTTCTTTTCCCAGCAGTGCTTGGAAAACATGCGCAAACAACTCATATTTTATGAATGAGCTGACTCGTTTTAATTCCTGTATTTATGTATGAATTTATACATATGAGGGGATCATCAGAGATCTGACCACTCACTGTGTGAAATTGTTCAACAGGGTTCAGATTCCAACATCCTATCCCATTCGCAGACTTTGTGTCCTGATTTGCAACTTTTAATACCATTTTTTAAAAATTGAAGATTCTTAGTAGGGCTTAAGATATCTAATAAGGCCAGGGCTGATTTTCTAGTTAAGTACATACGTTTAATAGACCTACCATCCAAGACAATGAAATTAAGTCATGCTTTCTTCCTCAGGTTTTAGACACTTTAGCCCAATGTATCCTTTTCAACTTTGAATTATAATTTGGACTGTTTCCATGAACTTCTCGAGTTATGTTAAATAAACATATTTTTTTGTGATTTTAGAGAACTCTTTATTCCCTATAAAATCAAGTGTGATTTAAATTATAAAATGCATAATCTTGGTACAACTGGTAATCTGTACTGAAGGCAACTAAATTTATATATCAAGGAGCAGATTATTTCAAAATTTATATAATGGATTTTTTACATGTGGACGTAGATACCAGTATAAATAAATAAACCCAGTTGATTGACTGAAAAGAAACTTACTCTATTTCCCTACTTAGCATTTATTTATAAAATTCAGAAGAGATTACTGAAGGTCAGGATTCATTGCGATGAGAGTTTAGGGTGCCATGGAAAGGTGACTGCCATACCAGATATCAGCTGTATCATCAGAAATTCCTTCACGGTTGACTAATTCCTTGGAAATATGTCTACAATATTTCTCTCCTGCATACTGTGTGTGTGCCAGGTAGGATGGCAGAAATCCTGAATTAAACTAGTTTAATTAATAAAGAAATGTAGCGGCTCCTATGACTGTTAAGTCCGAAGGCAGGGCTTGCTCCATCACTGGAGGAGCCAGGAGGCCACCGTGCCGTCAGTCTCAGGTTCCCTCCATTTCTCTGCTCATCCATCCTCAGTAGCTTCCCTCCCAGGCTGGCTCCTCTTGGAGTCCTGGGCTGATCACCTGAGAACTTACTTAAGTCCACTGGGTGAGTCACTTCTAGAAGACCTCTCAGTAAGGCTGGGAAACCCCTTCCACGAGCCCGCAACTCCCTCGGATGCCGTCGCAGCAGTCCCAAACCACTCGACAGCCAGACAGAGGCTGAGTTGTCCATCCCGGAGCTGCAGGTGGAGCCTGCCCACCTTGCAGCATGAGCTCTGCCTGGGAATCAGCATTCTCTTAGAAATGTTCGTCAGCTGGAGCTGAGGTCTCTAGCGGAGGAACAGCCTGTGCAACGTCGCCAATCCCCATCACAAGAATAACTCCAGGAGAGGGCAATGCCCAACTACCTGTCAGGAAGGTCATCCCGGGCTCTCTGCACTGAGAAGGAAGTAGGACTCAGTTCTATCCGGGGCCTCTCCCAACTCCAGGGTTCTGTAATGTTACACCTGTTTGAAAAGAAATGTCCCATTTTGTCAAGACAAAAGATTCACAAAGAACTTATTGAATGCCTATTGTATGCCAGGCACTTTTCTGGGGCCTGAATGAGCAGGAGTGCACAACACAGACACCACTGCCCCACGTCACATGCCTTCTGGTGGGAAGGGTGGACAATACACAAGATAAATAAAATGCACAGAACTGTGAGAGGGACAAGGAGCAAAAAGAGACAGTTAGGAAAGGCGTATAAGAACCTGGTGGTCATGGCTGGAGTTTCCATTTTAAATAAGTAGCCAGGGAAGTATTGACTGAGAAAGTAACACTCTTAATATCCCCCCCCCCCCCCCCCCCCCCCCCCCCCCCCCCCCCCCGCCCCCCCCGCCCCACCCTGCAGTCCCTGAGCCAAGGATTTGGGTTCAAGTCACGTATTTGGGAGGGAACTCCAGGAAGCACAGTGGGGAAGCAGAGAGGGGAAGGAGGAGGGAAGGAAGCAATGGAGGAGCCTTCCCAGCGAGTTGGCCCTGGGGCAGCCATGACTCCAGGTGCTGAGAGCTTGGCGGCTGGAGAGCACAGCTCAGGGCTTCCCTCAGACAAGGCCATGGGTGCCGGAGGGAGAGGTCATGGGGCACAGGGAGCTGCCCTTCATGGGGAGCAGGTGGGAGACACGGGTGGACGCCTAGCCCTGCCATACGGTGACCTGGCGAGATATGGCCATGGGGTTACCTGGGAGCAGCAGCAGCCAGTGGAAACAGGAGCTTCCAGGAGAAGCTTTCAGAGAAGGAGCTGGGAGCCCAACGGAAAGGTTTTCAGGACACAGTTAGACTTCTACTCTGAGTGAAGTTGGGACACATCTGACCTATTTTCCTAACAGGGTCGAAGTGCTTCTTAATAAAGAATGAACTGAAAGGAGGCAAGAACAAAGGCAGGCAGAGCAGTGAGGAAGGAACCAGAATCCAGACAGACGGGCAGCTGGGCAGGGGCGTCAGTGGGAGGCGAGGAGGCACCCACAGCAGGCTCCCCTGCCCTCGAGAGCGGGGAGTTCGCCACCTCTTTTTGCCTAGGCGACAGGGAGAAAGGAGTTGCCTTAGAGCAGGGTGGGGAAGCGGCAGGAAGGATAAGGAGCATGGGAGGGCACTCTGTTTGGACGTGTTAAACTCCCATCACTTATTGGCCATCCAAGGGCACAATCCAAGGAGGCCACAGGATACGGATCAGGGGACGTCAAGCGGAGAGCCATCGGGATATAGATGGTGTTTGCACATTTACAGCCATGGGACTGGATGGTGTGACCGTGGTGACAGCAAATACGTCTGAGGCCAGAGGCATGCAGGATAATGTTGGGAGGTGTGGCCAGTAAAGGAACAAGCAAAACAGACCAAATAAGGGCAGGCGGAGAGGAAGGAGGAACACCTGCAGGTGCGCTGTTCTAGCAAGCAAGTGAAGAGGGGTCGGAAGGAGAAGAGAGTGGGCAGCGGTGTCATGGCAGCTAGTAGGTCAATGGACATGATCGAAACATCTGCCTGGACAGAGAGAGAGAGAGGGTTGGGAGGAAGAGAAGGAGAGGGAAAGAGAGTGAGAGAGAGAGAGAAAGATGGAGGGAGGAAGGGAGAACAGAGGGGAAGAGGAGAAGGAGCTGTGAACCAGAGGAAATCTCCTGGGTTTGCTGGCTTGTGTGTTTGCCTTTAGGACACCACCTCAGGGTTTTGAACCTTAACTAGAGCATAATATGGAACATCCAACTCACTAGATGCGGAAATCTGTGTATTCGCTGCTGATGGGGTGAGAAGTGTGGGTTGGAGGACAACTTAATTTTCCATTAAGATACCTTGGCTTCTGGAGGGAAAGCTGGCCTCTGCTGCCCCCCACTCAGATTGTATTTTATTCCTTGTAACGTCTCCACATGTTTAAAAAAATGTGCACATTATGGAGTTTAACATAATTTTCAGTGAATGAGGGATTCAGGTAGAGGGTTTCTCAAAATGCCAATATCAATTGGTTAGGCCTTCTAAAGAAACATCTAAGATTCCTCTTATGAATAGATTTTTTAAACCCAAGAGGCCAAAAAAAAAAAAGGATATACACTTATGATCTATTTGCCTGAGTTACACATAATCATATCTTTCAAGAACAGCCCTGCCAAAATAAACAGAAGAGGAGAGCTGGCCTACCCAAACTGGCCACAAAAGTCATTTCTCAAAATCCCAAGTTAGTTCTCTACAGGACTGCTTTCTCATACCAACCCACAATTGCACAAACAAATGATTTCAAAGACCCAAACATTCACATTCTCTGAGGGATCCAACAGGATTGGTGCAAAAACTTGCATCAGTGAGAGGCCCCCCCACCCCCAGCTCTAAGCTCCCCTAAAGCTGTTTGCTCCTTAGCAACCACAGGCATTCCTCTCCAGGCTGCTCTGTGGGAGAGTTTCACATCTCTAAAGGGCTTACCTCTGAGTTAGGAAACCATAGTTACCACCATGCTCCTATAACCATAACTGATTATTTGGAGTCCATTTTCTAAATATTTACACCCGCGAGAGTCAAGATTCATGAGAGAGGGGACAATCACTCATTCCGAACTTCAAAGAACATGGCAGACGTTAGTAAAGGGATAAAGCAGGTACCCCAGTTCAGGGGCAAAAATGGCCCCAAAAAAGTGCTCTGAATCAGTCATGTGTTTGAGGGGATCTGGGAAGCCTTAGAGGAGGAGATGACAAGGGAGAAGGGCCTCCAAGGATGGAGTTAGGCAGAGTTAGGGGACAGGAGAAAGCAGGACCCTTGAAGATACAGGGCGAGGGCGCCTGATTCCTTCCTGCCCTGGGCCGTGGATGTGCTGATGAGCTATGACATAAGGCTGGAGTCGGGGCTAGAGATGGAAGGGCTGCAACACCAACATTTAGTTTGGACTTCCTTCCATAACAAGGAGGAACTCTGAAGGTTTTGTTCATAGAGCAGTGACATAATCCAAGCTCAGCGTCTGAAATGATTACCCTGGCCACACCACAGAGGTGGACTGAAGGGGAGAGAAACGGGACGGGATGTCTAGGTGTAATAAGTCATGTTATCAGTGGGAGTGGCAAGGATGGGAGGGATTTGACTGACATCTCAAAGACAGAAATTGATTGGATGTGGGGAAGGCCAGCAGGGCTGACAGAAGTAAGCTGCCCGCTCTGAGTTTCAGCCTCATTGACTGAGAAAGCGGTCAAGAGGTGGAACTGGCTTTCAGGGAAGACAGGGATCCAATTTTGGATGTGTTGAATTTAAGATGCCATGAGGAAAACCAAATTAAGGCATCCTGCAGGGCGTTATGAATGCAAGATCCTGGCTTCTGGGATTTGAGAGGCGGCTGCAGCGAGATGGAAGCAGAAACCTAAGAGCCAGATCACAGAGGAAGGAAATGAAGCACAGAGAGGCTCACTGATGGAAACGTGGGGTAGATGAGCTTTAGAGAGCAGAGGACTCAAGGAGGGTGAAGGCCGGGGAAGCTCAGCCACCGGGGCCCAGGAGGGAGGGCAGGGCGGCTGCGGGCACACATTTGGAAGCAGACAGACGCAGGTGTAAGCCCTGGTCCTGCTCCTCTGTGGTCACAAAACCTTGGGACTTGGTCTAAGCTCTCTCTGTCAGCGTTCTCTCGTGTTTTAAATGAGAGTTATTGTGAGGGTGAAACGGGATTCGAGGTGTTTGGTTCGAGGTGGCACTCAAGAAATGGTGCCGTGACCTCACTCACCAGGAATGAGTCACCAGAGGGGGCTCCAGAGGAGCAATGGGTTGTTTTGGTAACTGGAAGCTTGTCAACACAACCCTTTCCTCGGCTGGCGGTGGCCGAAGCCAGACTGCAGAGGGGTAGGGAGAGAGCGACCAGGGAGGGAAGGGACGGACACGTTCTGTCTTCTTCTCTCCACCTGGAAAAGGCCTTTTTGCCTCCCTTCCAAGGCGGAGCTCACAGTTCATCTCTCAAGTTCCCTTGACTCTTCAAAACCAAATTAGTGGCTGCAGCTTCTGCTGTCTCCAACAGTCTTTGTTCTTGATACGAGGCTCTAGTGACACAAGCCAGTCATTTATCTTCTCCCATGCTTGTTTCCCACCAACCCGCCCACACTGTTTAGACTGAGAGTGACTCAAACCGGAATGATGTCCTTGTCACATAACAGGTTCCCATTAAGAGCTCATTGAACAGCTGACGGACTACGGATGAGGCAGAAGGAAGGAAGATAGGGTGTGTGAAAAGGAGGGAGAACGTAGTGGAGAGAGGAGGCAGGAGGGAGCTCCACTTGGTGAACAACATCGTGTGGACCAAGGATCACCTGTGCAGGACCAGGACCAATGTTGGTTGGTTAGGACAGAGGAGGTGAGGGAGAATGCCCATGCTGTAAAAGAGACAGGAAGAACAAAGCATCAAAGAGACCCAAATTGGAGTTAGAAATTAGAGATTTGACTTGGGGTGTCGCCTGCAAGCCAAGGTCAGCAATGCCCCCGACCACAAGATCACCTAGGGCCAGGAATTTGAAATCTATCAGGCCTTTCTCAGCTGATCTCTCAACTGGATCTTTGCTTAAACATCCGCCTCAGGATAAAGGTGGATAGAAAGGCAGGTGAAACCATGGAGAGAAGAGAGGGACGAGCGATAACCATTCACTGGGGGACAAAGTCAAGAAGGGTACCTATTGTCACATGTTACTGCGAACTGAACAACCACAGAACCTCAATGGCAGACACCAGTAGACTTCCCCTTGGCTCCGAAGGTTTTGCTTTGAGTTTGTGACTCAGGTGGTTGACTTCTAATCTAGACTGGACTCTCTACATGTTTGGGACAACAGACTGACTGGTGTCTGCTCCGTGTGGTCTCTCGTCAGCCGGCAGACTAGCCTGAGCTTGTTCCATGGCGAGGGTTGGGTTCCAGGAGAGCAAGCAAAAGCTGCAATCTTCCTGAGGACTAGATATGGGACTGGTACCCGTCACTTCCTCCACGTTCTACTGGCCACCGCAAGTCGCAGCCTGGCCACATTCAGGACTGGAGAAAGAGACTGTACTTCTGAGGAGGAAGCCTCAAAGGCGCATCACGGGGGGCTGGATGCAGGGCAAGGCTGGAGTGGGGAGTATGTGGGACCGTTTTTGCAATCAATTTGCTACAGGAAGCTTGAGGAAGAGGAGGGAATGAAGAAGAACGGGGGAGTGGCCAGACAGGGGACTGTGGAGTTTGAAATCTTGGCAATTGATCACTTGCAACTTCTGGTAAGACTTCCTCAGTGGATGTTGGAGTTGCTAGTTGACACTAGAATCTGTCATGCAGAATGTCATTTAGTGAATTAGGTAAAGGATCTTCAGCGTTTCTTATACGATGCATTTTAACGCTTGTCACTTAGTATAAGATTAATGAATTTTATGAAGGGACTGTGCCTGAGACAAGGTGAAGGATTACAACAGATATTTGCTGAATGAGTCTAAGTCAGTCACCTGTGAGATAATTCACATATAAGGAAAGTGGGGCCCAGAGAGGTAAGATAATTTGTTCAATGTCACACAGGAGAAGGATCTTTTTCCTGAATCCTAGTCCATCCCATCCCCTGTTCACTCTTTGTTAATCAGTTTTTTGTAAGTGACAGAGAAGAGGAAATAACTGAAGTCACAGTAACGCTAAGTTACATAATAATTTTTATGTAACCCATCTCCCCCGAAAAGTATTGTGGCTACTGTCACATATTATATGGTATGAAATAAATTATCCTGTCACATAAGGAGCCAGATTCTATGCCAATTACTTAACACCGTGGCTTAGGAACTCAAACCCAAGAACGCTGTTCCATTATTTTCCCACATCCTACTTATTTCAGCCTCAGGATTTCCCCTGACAGCTAATTCCATATTCACTCCAGATCTCCCCTTGAGGTTCCAGTATTTTAAAAGCCTTCAGGAAAAGAGGATCTTGGTATTTTTATTCTTAATCTGCTTGTCAGCATTTCCCTCTGTCAAGAAGCAAATGAGAGTTCCATCCCCAAACTGCACAGTGGCCTGTGTCCAGGGACAGCCCCAGACCACGGAGAAGGGTGCTGCAGGGGACAGCCAAGAGAGCAAGAAGCTCAAAGACAAGGTTCCAGAAGGGGCATGTGCCACAGGAAGTAACTGGTGGGCAAGTGACTTGACTGGAAATGTCTGTAGCAGTAAGCAGAAGTCATCAGCAAGAGACAGCGGAATGTGCTGGAACTGGATTGGTAGACATCACATTATAAAGGAAAATGCAGGATCCTATTTGTCCTATAAGGATCCTATTCTTATGCATTTATTATATAAATTCATATATTGGTTGTGTTTAAAACTTTCGTGTCTGTGTGAACATTCAGATATGTGTCAATGTGTGCATGTATTTTTAATCCAAATGAATATTAATTACCTAATAATAATTAGATCATTATTTTCTCCCTTCCCATTTTCAGTTGCTCCCATAGATCCAAAACATTTGAAGGTAAATTAATGTGTTGACGTATAGACCGGTAGTGGGATGGATGCCTATAACAAACAGTCAGCCATTTGTCAACCATGGGAAGGAGTGTGGAGTCTGCTTCAAGTGGGCTGGAAAGCCACTGGGGAGGGATCCAATCTGATTTATGCTGCATACATCTCACCCGGTTGTATGGAGAATGGAAAGGAAGGGGGAAGAGTACACCGGGGAGTCCACTTAGGAGGCTGTGTGGAGTCAAGCAAGAGGTGATGGAGACTTGAACTCTGAGCGGAGGTGGTGAGAGGGGGTTGGATTAGGGGTGGCATATACTTTCACTGTGAAGACACCATGATTTGCTGAAGGACTGAATGTGGAGTGTGAGATGGAGACAAGTCCAAGATGGCTTCTAGCTTCTTGGCCTGAGTGTTTGGTGGATGGTGGTGCTATTTACCAAAGTGGGGAAGACTGGTGGGTTGGGGTGGGCTGTGTTAGATAAAGAAGTCTTTCTTTTTTTTCCTTTTCCCCAAAGCCCCAGTGCATGGTTGTACATCCTAGTTCTAACTTCTCCTAGCTCTTCTATGTGAGCCCCCACCACAGCATGGCAACTGACAGATGGCTGGTGTGGTTCCGTGACCAGGAAGCAAATTGGGGCCACCAAAGCAGTGAGAGCACTGAGCCTTAACCACTAGGCCTTCAGGGCTGGCTTGATAAAGAGGTCTTTTTGATCATGTTTATTTTGAGGCATGAGTTAGACACACAGGTGGAGATGTTATGTAGATTTGAGTCATTGGCATATAAAGGGTATTTGGGGCCATACGATTTTGTGAGATTGCCATCCCAGATTTTGTGTTTTGGAAGGATGTGGTAGTGAGGAGGATGGAGAGAATGTTTGGCAAGAATCGCTGAATGGGGGACTCAGGAGGAAGAGCAGGTCTAGGCAAGAATATGGCTTGCTTTTCAGATGTGTTGAGCACAAGGTGCCTGTGAGACAACCTTACGAGCTGGACAGCTGGGAGTTGTTTATGTGAAGTTGAGACCCATGGAAGGCAGAGTTGAGGAGTGGACAGAGCACAGGGTATGGTGTCGGGAGCTGAAGTAATGAGCGGGCATGAGAGCATCCGGGAAAGGCTGTTGAGCTGATAAGCAGTGGGACAGATAAGACCGCTGACTCAGGGGACAGGGAGAGGAAACCATGCTAAGGAAAGAAGCTGTGTAACACACAGTCTAATCAAAAGGGGATCACTTCCTCACATCTGGGTTAGCATCACGGGGCTTTCCTACCGAGCACAGGAATGCTGGCCACCAAGCAGCACAGAAACAAGAAAAGGCAGTTTGATTTACTGACCACTCCTCAGGCACCTTCGGGCAAATTCTCAGAAAGGAAAAAGGAAAGTTATACCACGGCCTCATGGAGGAGGAGCCCGGGGGTCAGTAGGGGGAGGAAAGAAGCTCCTACCTTGACTTTGCAGGACTGCTCGTCATTTCTCCCCAAACTCCAGGAAGCACCTCTTGCATGGACCTCTGTGACACGTGGGTGACATAGGAAATGCTGAGGAAAAATATAGTTACTCACCGCGGAGGCTCCTTGTCCTGTGTCTGGGTAGATGTGCAGAGACCCCTTCCACTGGGTGGGCTCATCGGTGGGACAATGGAATGATCCATGCCAGGATGATCCAGGCCATCCTGCCTTGGAGGCACCCAGTGGGGCCAAGACCCTCAGCACTTCAGTCTCAGAGGAGAGATGCTTGGATGACTGGTTACAGATACCCTAGTGCCAAGTCACAAGTCGATGGCCCTATTCCACTCTGGTTCATTAGCCCTACTGTGGTGCCCACTGGGAAAGGCAGAGTTTGAGAGAGAATGGAAGACAGCGGAGTCACTGACTTTTAAGAGATAGCTTCTCTTCCCAGGATGCGTTTCCCACTCACTCTGTGCTTTGCTACCCAAAGTGTGGACCCCAGACCTGCAGATGAGCATCGTCTGGGAGCTTGACTCAGGCCCACCCCAGACTCAGTGAATCAGAAGCTGCATTTTAACCCATCCCCAGGGACCTGTGTGCACGTTAACATTTGAGAAGCACAATTACATAGCATTAAATGACATTTGACTTAAGTTCTTCCAAAGAGAAACCTTCAAAGAAATGAAACAGATTCTTCACCTTTCAGGAAAAGGCTCGAAGGCGTGGTTTCAGGTGTGCACCAAAGCAGAGCAACGTGGCTTGCCGACACTCCTCTTTGCCGCCTCTGCCGCTCTGATGCTCACGCGGGACAGCGCCTCACTCACTCTTCACAGAGCGCCTTCACGCACACTTCCTATCTCGCAAAAACAGCAGAAGTCTCCGAGCTCTCCCCTCTACCTGCTGCTGATGAGGAGCAAGAAGCCGGGGGAGGTTCGCCCTGTGTGGGACTCGGATCAAGGCTCCTGGGCTTCTCTCCCGGGCCCTGGGAGAGTTACCTGCAGTCTCCATTACTAGAGACCAAGGGGAGCCCACTCCATCCCTTTTTGCTGTCTGTTAGTGTTAACTGTACTCATATAGCATCAGTTCAGCCACTTCCACGTGCTGATCACAACCGGGTACCTGACACATGTCTTAGTCTGTTCAGGCTATAACAAAACCACCTTACGCTGGGCGGCTTACAGACAGCAGCGATGTCCTCTCACAATTCTGGGGGATGGAGGTCCGGGATCCTGGTGCCAGCACAGCCGGTTCTGCAAGGGCCTCTTCTGGGTTGCAGACTGCCAACTTCTCACTGCATCCACACATGGGGAGGAGGGAGGGAGCTTTCTCAGGCCCCTTTTATGAGGATACTAATCCCATTCGTAACCAACCACCTCTCAAAGGCCCCGCCTCCCAATACCATCACCTTTGGTGTTTCAACAAATGAACCTGGAGCAGACACAAGCCTTTAGACTATAGCGACAAATAAAGATTAGAAATTATTATATGGAAAAAGACACAAAAACTATTTTGATATATGTTTTAAATTTACGTACCTTTGCACCTTGATGCAGTTCAATAATTGAAACTCTCATCTTTCTACCCAACCTTGAATGCCAGGGAAACATAATGAAAAGTTCTATTTTATTCCCCAAGATAATAGCTCAAAGAGCAGTGTAAGGAACCTCCAGTGCTACAGAAAGGGTGAGGACGTGTGAAACCCCCTTTCTGGGGAACTTACTCTTAAGCAATCAAACGAAAGCACCCGTGGGCCTTTGCAAGGTGCCAGCCATCTGGCCTCTGCATCCTGACTGAGTCACCAGGTAAACAGCCACAGGTTGCTCTCAGCACTCAGCGGCCCTGCCCCTCCGTTCGCTGCCCTTAGGTGTGGGTTTTTACTCCAGGGGTTGAGCATATTTTCAGCCACACCTGGATGCCTCCAGGTAATTAGGACAAAACTTTTAGTGGAAGGAAAACAACATACCTTTGAAATTGGAATGCATGTGCAGGGGAAGGTTAAGTGGAAGGGAGGGGCCCTGACTCTCTGAACCCACCAGCTTTGCTTCCTGTTGAGAAAGTACACAATTGAAAGACAGGAGAAATGCTAAAAGGCTCTCGTGACTGCTTCCTGCCGCATTCAATTAGGCTTCTAGTGGGTGCCAGGAGGGGGAGTGACTCCAGGCCTTAGGAGAACACTGGAGGACAACCCCAGGGGCCGCCATGTTGCAGATGTGGTGTCCAGCCAAGCTGGGGGACTGCGTGATTGAACTAGATGCAGAGGTCTCAGTTTAATTCTATATCCCCTGGCCCGAGTTACACATGCTGCCCTTTGTATGGCGTCTTCAACAGTCGACCAACTTCCAGTACCTGGAAGGGGTGGGTGACAAGGGAAAGCACAGCCATCGAAGCACCGAGCGCAGACCTGGTTGTGCAGGGGCCTCTGCGCCTCCTCCGGGGCAGCGGTAAGCTGCCTCTGGCCACTGGCCGGACATGGTTGTTGCTGGCCCTCACAGATGAAAGCAGGAAGCACTGACTGTGAGCCAAGAGCTTAATGTTTTCGAAAAATGGACCGGACGGGAGGAAGGAGCTCGGGTTTGCTTTGAGAGCAGTAAACAAGATCTTGGCTGCGGGCCAGGGAGAAGCCTGACATCTCTAAAGGATCCTGACAGCCCAGCCTGTGGCTGATGGGGCCCTGTTAGGGCTGCAAACGGGGCAGTGGGCACGGGCTCCTGAGCCCAGGGCAGTGGGCATCCTTCCCTTACTTGTGCCTCCACAGGGAGCGGCTGTGGCACAGAGGAAGGGCCCAGGCTGGGCTCGGTGTTTGGGGATAAACCCAACCCAGCTCAGTGGGCTAAGAGCAGCCAGTGGGATGCAAGAGCCAAGCTGGGTGGCAGCACCCGGAGCCCTTGCTGGCAGGTGCCCTGGCCAGCCCGAAGGCTGCTACCACCCCAGTGATGGTTCTTTAGGGAGGGCCCAGCTCTGTGGCAGCAGAGGCTGCCCTTCCTCTGATGCAAGGAGTCTGAGAGGTCTTGTGAACACACCTGCCAGGATCAAGGAGCTTCCTAGAGACGGTCCCAGTGTGTGTCGTCTGTTGCCGTCACAAAATACTGGCCTCTGTTACTTTTCAGGGGAAACCTGTTCACCCGCACCCAGCATGACACAGTGACACAGCAAATCTCTTTAATCTTGCAAAGTGGCAATGAGCATCACGGTGTCTGGGTGACCCTTGGCATGGCGGGTGGGATGGTGGAGCGAGGTGTCCTGTAAAAGCACAGCTGGAGAGATGGCACTTGTTTTAAACCTTGTCTCTGGTTATTTTAACAGACGTGCCCATCTCCCGCCCTCAGCGTGTCAGTCAATGCTTATCACCGTGGGAGAACAGGGACAATGACTTTGGTGTTGTGCCTTCCTTTGGACAGCGTGGACCTTTTCATCAGACATCACTTCCTATCAGACGATGATGACCAAGACACCAATAAGGCAATAACAATGATTATATCTGCGGATAAGGAAAATATGCAGCCTGGTAAGTTTTGCTTACACTGACTCACAAAATGAACCATCTTACATGTGGGATGATGAATACATCAGCATCGAGATCTTGCTAGGACAGGACCCAACTCACTTCAACCGTGGATGTCGTCAGAAGTCCTCCGTGGGGTTAGCCCGCGATGGAGACAGATGAGACAGCACAGGCATTCTCCTGCAGCAGAGACCAGCTGCTCACGGCGGGCACGGGCCGGGCCACAGACAACAGCTTATGGGCACACGCCCACGTGCCACGACCATGCTCAGCAGCCGAGAACCTTGGCTCCTACGCACTGTCCTTCAGCGAAGACAGTCGTTGCACCACCGGGTCACTGCGGAAACCAGGTGCTTTGTGGAAGCGGCAGAGCTGAGGCAGGTCCCCCAGCAGAAACCGGGTTCCGAGAGCTGCACTACGGCCTGATGTTTCACTTACAGCCCTTCCGGCGTGCGTGGGCATCACACATTCCCTCTGCAGGAAGACACAACACACAGGACTCGTGTCCAGCCCACCCGCGTCCTGCCCCTTCTCATGGGATATACCTGCATCCCAAAAGAACAGCTCTCTGAAGCCAAGGAAGTTTCCCGTTTGTTTGCTTAATGCTGTCCTTTCTCCGATTCCACTCATTCTTATTATGCAGTGAAGCAAAACTCTTAATGATCACATTTAAATGGCAAAACTTAGATAGGCTATTTGCATAACTGATTCTCATTTAAAGTGAGAGTTAAATAGTGAACTGTAAAAAGTGTGAAAAGAGCAGGCACCGATCTTTGGCCTCCTTCTTGTTTTTCCGATTTGTCAAGTATGTTCCTGTCCCAGGGCCTTTGCACATGCTGGTCCCTAGGCCTTTGATGCTCTTCCTCTGAATATCCACACAGAGGGCCCCCCAGAGCTCTGCTCAAGTGTCACCTTCTCAGAGAGGCCTTCTCTGAACCCCAATAGGAATAATGCTGGCACCGTTCACCCCAACACTAGCCCCCTCTGTCCTTATCCCCTGTCTTGTTTGTCTTCAACTCATGTTTTGTGTTTATTTGTTCATCACTAGTTCTGTGAGTGCAGAGGCTCAAGTTCTTCACACACATCTCCAGGGCCTGGAGGAACCCCAGACGTGGAGGAGATGCACAATAAACACTTGCTGGAGAGATGAACAGAGAAGGGAAGCATTCTCGGTGACGTGTTTCAGCCATGCAGGCCCAGACCGTGACTCATTTTCTCGACTACTTGAAGGCAACTGTCTGCACAGCTGGTGGGGATGGCAGCGCTCGCCGATGTCTTCCGAGAGGGAGAGCCGAGTGCATTTTCTGCAAGGCCCAGTGATTCCTGTGGTGAATTAGCTTTCAACGAATTTCCCTGTTGCCTCCGGGCAGCCGAGAGAGGGACCAGGCTCGGTTACATGCTACCAGAATTGAGGTTCACGTGTAATCTTAGTAATTTTAAATTTGTGCGCTTTTCCCTGAGAAAGCAGAGCTGTTCTCCCAAAATCAGGTTATGCCGTTTTTCACAGACACATCCACACATCTATTTCTCATCCAGTGTCGCACAGGTCAGAGGAACCTCGTGTTAGTTAAATCATCAGTCCGCCACGCTCCATGCTTTTATTACGGTCCACAGCCACCTGCCTCTGGACTGAGGCCTTCGTTCAGTTCAGTCACACTACTTTACAAACCCTTGAAAGAGAAGGAAACCCAATAAAAGACGTATATTTTAAAAATCAAAACATGTGATCAAGTTAATGCAAAAGCAGCAGCTGTGTTTGAAGTTAGATCCAGATATACGATGTGTCAGAGTCTGCTTTTGTCTACCCAGTTGTCATTCTCCCCCCTCTTAGACTGAGAGCCTGGTTTCATTTTGGGGTGCAATGCTCCCAGTTCAAAGTCTGTTTCCCAGCTTCTCTTGCAGCTTTTACATATGTCCAAAGTCCAGGCTGCAAGACTTAAAGAGAAGGTTCACTTATAAAGTAGCTGACTAAGCCAGGAGAGGCCCTGTTTTTCCGCTTTCCCTATTCATCTGTCTTGTTGGTAAAGCAAATGTGATGGCTGGAGCTGCAGGAGCCACATTGGCCCGTGAAGCAAACTTGAAGACAGAAGATGTGCACTGAGGATGGCAGAGCTAAATGGCAGGGAACCTTGGTCCCAGGAAATTTGATGGAAACACCACCAGCCTTGGAATGCCCACATTTGATCTAGTTTTACCTGAGAGAATAGACGTTTATATGTTTAAAGCATTGTTGTTTTGACTTCTCTGATTATAGGTAGCAAAATGTAATTCCCATCCACATGAAGTGGTGGGGGAGTGCTGGGATTCAATATTGGTCACTTACTATAATTCAGAGAAGGTATATTAATTCCCTGAGGAACTTTATGCCTTCATAAGGCCAATATACAAGCTATTGGAAAATAATGCAAGTATACAGTTTAATCATTCAAAACGACGAACTCACTTAGTCTGGTCCCATTATAGTGGCATATGAGACACATGTAGTCATTCAAAATAGTCAACAAATACTCGCTGAGTGCCTCCCATGTATCACGTGTTGAGTTATCTCCACCAAAACACAGCGGGAAAGAGCCGGGACCTGGAATAAGGGCTTTGAATTCTGACTCGCTGTTTATTAGCTGGCTGACCTTGAGCAAGTCGTTTAATCTTTCTGAGCTTCCGTGTCCAGAATACTCCTTAGCCCACAGGGTTTGTGAATGTGAAACGAGAACGTAGGTAAATATCTTAGCACTGTGGCTTTGCAGCGATGGCAGCAGAGTTTGGGCAGCTCCTGTCTCTGCAACGTGATCCTTCCCATCAAGGAGCTCCCTCACGGAGGAAACGGATGTAATCAGATAATACAGTTAGGCTCGGAAGATGCTATAACAGAGGGGTGAGCAGAGTGTTTTGGAGCCCGGAGAAGTGAGTAACTAGCTCTGTTTAGTGAGCTGAATACAGGTGGTGTTGTCACTAAAACTGTTCACCAGATATTTCTGGATTTCCTCCTCCTGACACATGGTAATGTTGCTCCCCATCCCCTTTGAAGATGCGGCCATAGGATCAGCTCTGGCCAAGGAAAATGAGGAGAAGCAACATGTCTCGCTTCTGAGTGTAAGTTTTAAGAGGCAGTGGACAATCGGCCGTGTGTCCTATCAAGTGTACAGCGATTGTGGAGCAAACAATGATGCCTCCATCAGCTGGGTCCCTGGGGACTCCAGAAAGCTAGACTCCGGTCCTCCCCCACCTCTGCCCACTCACTTTGGAGAAGTTACTGTGAGTGAGGAATAAGCTTCTGAGATCTGGGAGTTGATTGCCACTGGAGCACCACCCAGCCTATCCTGACCGAGTCACATGATGGAGTCATCGTGGAGACTGAGTACAAATTTCCAGGTAAGGAAGGAGCGTTCAACACTCCCAGGCAAAGAGAATTTTTTATGCAAAGGCACAGTCAAAAAAGGACTAACATTTGGTGACGAGTTCAGGACCTCTGTTGCCAACACTGGGAGAGGGTACAGAGGGGGAGAAGCTAGCTAGAAGAGAGAGCGTGCCGGGTACCTTTAACAAGCCCAACCTCCCCGAAGTGATTCAAACTCAGAAGCCATTCAGAGAAACTCTGGATTCAATAAATGAAGAGCTCAAAAATGAATTAGTAAACAAAAATCAAGATACGATGAAAAGGGGGAATGTAGTTCTAAAGACAATGAATTGAGGACCAAATCAACACTGATTCCGCACTAACACGTACATTAGAAACATAAAGAACAGGGAGGATCCACCAAAACTTCAACCACGGACACAGAGAAAACGTCAACGACTCAGGGACACAGGCAGACGAAACAAGAGAAAGACGGTAAGAAACAGAGAGACGGTAAAGTCACAGATGTGAAGATGTGTCAAAGATAAAGCCCATCAAAATAACCAGTGTCCCTAAAGTGGAGAACTCAACAAATTAAAAATAACAAGTATTCAAAGGTGTAACAGAAGAACATTTTCCTGACATCAGGAAAAAGCTGTCTCTGCAAATGCAGAGTTCACGGTATTGCCGAGGGCATTTGAAATAAAACGCTCCAGACTGAGACACATCCTGGTGAAGCTTCCCAACTTCAAGGAATGCATATGAAGTTCTTGAGAGAAGAACATGTGCCCCAAGGATATTCTACCCAACCAATTTATTCCTCATCTAGAAAGGCAAGAGGCACATATTCTCAGATATGAGACAACTCAGGCAGCATAAAGGTTTCTTGAAAAAAGTTTTGAGTTTTCTGTTTTTAGTAACAAAACCCAGACAATAGATGGCTCAGAAAGTAAGCGTGTTCAAAGGACCAGCGGCAGGAAATGAGTCAATTTAAATAAAGGCTGAATATTTTAAAGCCATGTGAATTGTATTACAGAAGAAATGTAATTTTTTTACCTTGACAGTGTAATAATAATAATGTAACTAACAAATATAAGGAGGGAAAAGAGGAAAGGGGTGGTGAGAGGAAATGAGAACATGAATGGCCTCAGATTTTGAAGGAAGAAGTGAAGGAATGATGTGTAACGTTTAGAAGTATATTTTAAAAATACTTCTAATATTTTGCATTAAATTTTCTTCAGGGATCTTTTAGGAAATAATATATCCAGATAAATAACATTTATTTCAGGTTCAGCAATTCTTTCAGTTTCGTTATATGTTTTCTTCTGTATGCAAACAGGGTACAATTCACATGATTTCGTAAGATTAGGCGTGGACATGCAGGAGACGTGGGACACGGGAGAGAGGGCCATGAAGGTGAGCCTAAAGAAGCAAGTGGAGAGCAGATCACAAAGCACTTTGTGTCTACTAGGCTGAGGAATTGCGACCTTTCCTATAAGATGGGCGGTGGGGGAGGGGGTGGAGAATTTTTAACCAAGATGGAGATATGATCACACACACATTTTATAAAGGTCATTCTGTCACTTTGGCTGCAGTGTACTTTATGATCTCTTGAAGTGCCATGATTTAGAGATGCTCTATGAGCATGATTTTATAGAGGTAGAGGATGGTCAGCAATGAGCTAGGGTCCTGATCTCTCCGTCAAGTTTTCGGATCTTTCCTTCAGACTCTTAAACACTGCTCTGTTGCATACTTTCACAACATAGTAAACTAGGTGTAAGACACACTAGAAGAATTCTCTTTTCCCTGCTTAAATCCAAAACTAAGTAGTACCCTAATCCTCAGAGACGCCAGGACAAGAAACAGGACGAGGATATATGGGCTTGAGGCTGTGCCCTGCACAAGTCCGGGGTGCTGTTGACGCAAGTACCAAGAAGAGCGACACCCCCGACCGTGGAGTCGGGTGATGTGGCGGCCAGGTGGGAAGGGCTGGCCGAGTTTGCATGGCTGACCTGGCAATCTCCCGTCCCTTCAAAGAAAGATGGCTACAAAGTCCTCTTTTTTAAGGCCTCCAAGGAATGTCATCTAAAATTCTTTTGACGTCAATATTCGTATTTAATAATCTTCATTATTATCAAATTATTCCTTGTGGAAAATGAACGTATTTTCGTGTCTTTTGTCCCATTTTCTGGTTATATCTTCTTTTGAGAAGTTCAGTGACACATCTTTTTCTTGCCATAGCCTCTAACATAACCGATCCCAATAAATCACCGCAGCTTCCTCCTTTCTAGCCTAAGCAGTCCTCACTTTAATGCACCTTCAAAGCCCAATTTTCCATCCTTTGTATCTTGATCTTTCATAAAATAGCTTCCAATGTTGCACCGAATTTAATAACAAAAACAAACACACACGAAGAACAGAGCGGTAGAATGATGGCTGGAGTCTTGAAAAGGACAATTCTGTAAACACAGGCCAGCATCACTATTGTGTTTTTGATAAGGCTAAATTTATCGTCTTATTCTAGTTGTACTGTATTAGAAATCCCCCTTCCAAAATCCCTGGAGATTGGGAGTACGTGCACCACAAATGGAGACCCCATATTTGAGGTATAATTGCATTGGAAAATGGTTTTGATCACATGCTCATTTTCTGCAGCCGTCGCGGACACTGTCAGCTACTACTGACAAGACCCCACCCCTTCTCAGTGCTGGTTACCAACACCCACCCTTCGTTCAATATCTTGCAGCCTGGTGCTTCAGGGGATGCTGACTGCTTCCCAGCCACAGAGGGTGAATCTCATTTACTGTAAATCAACCACAGCACATGCTCCTTTCCCAGGGACCAATGTTAGAATGGGCAGGGGACCCAGTTCTGGTCAATGAGAAGTGGGGTGGTGCTGGCCAGGGGTGGGGGGCTCTGGGACTGTTTGCATCACTCCAAAAATGGACCAAGGAAGAGAAACTGTCTTTATTGGATATTATTATGGGAAGATGTGCTGTTTGGAGCTGCTACGACCATGTTATAAACACAAGGGGATAACACTGAGATAAACACTTGTAACACTGAGATAAAAGCCAAGATCCTGAGGATGGCTGACTGAGAAGATGAAAAGCTCCTGTGCCCCCAATGATGTCACTCAGCTGCCTAAGTAACCTAACCCTGAACTTGTTATGCGAGATCATAAATCCCTTTACTGTTTAGTGGTTCTCAAAGTGTGGTCCCACACCAGCAACATCATCATCACCTGGGAAATTATCAGAAATGCAAATCTGGGCCCCTCTCCAGACCACCGAAAAGAAAGTCCAGGAGCCAGCCCAGCGATCTGGTCTAATACACACTCCAGGTGATTTGGATAAGCCCCAACATTGAAGAAACACTGGTTCAAGCCACTGAATTGCATTTTCTACGACTTGCAGCTAAATACATCCTAATTAATCAGCTACTTGTGAGTATTTTATGTACCTTTTCTGGGAAACTCTACCAACCAACTTGATGTTTTTGGGTTTTTTGCTTTTAAACATTGGCATCTGAGCTAACAACTCTTGCCAATCTTCCTTTTTTTTTCCTGCTTTCTCTCCCCAAATTCCCCCAGTACATAGTTGTGTATTTTCAGTTGTGGGTCCTTCTAGTTGCGGCATGTGGGATGCTGCCTCAGCATGGCCTGATGAGCGGGGCCATGTCGGCACCCAGGATCCGAAATGGCGAAATCCTGGGTCACCGAAGCAGAGCGCTCGAACTTAACCACTCAGCTATGGGGCCGGCCCCTGATGTTTTTGTCTTATGCTGAGGTCATCTGAGAACTTACAATGTTGTGGACGGGAAGGTTGGGAGACATGGGAGCGTGTTGCACCTTATCTGATGAGAGTTTGGGGCCACCCAGGTGGGCAGGACAAGAAAATTTAGTAGCTTTTAGAGCTCCTAGGTGAAAGGAGGACATTCTGAAATGCAGAAAAAGAAAACTTAGGAGGGACAGCTCAGATCCGAGGAACCAGAGAGCAGAAGTTTTTTATGTGCAGTGACAAAGGCCATGAGCAACTTGAGTGTCCAGATGGTTTCAAGGAAAGTAGTTCTAGCATGAAATCAAGGAGGTGCTAACGACAAGCAGACAGGAAACCACCAAATTGCTACACAGGATCTTTTGGAACTCTGGAGTGGGAACAAGCTGAAGAGACAAGAAGAGACCCAGCTGGAAGAGTTGAACCTAACAAGATCCTGAAGGGATGGTCAGCATTTTCAAACTGCCAACTGCATGTGACTACAAGGTTGTATTATATACAGATCGTTGCCGAAGCAAGAATCGTCAGCATTGTATTTCACTTCGCTGCATAAATCAAAGAGATGTGGAAGGGGTTCCCTACTGGGGTGAGGACGAAAAGACACTGCACACTTCTAAAGAAGCAATTATGCCTTTTGTCCTTCGACTGGTGGCATCAGAGTCTCTATGATAAACAAGTAACGCTGGCTTCACTTGAGTACTAGTACACCTCGTCAACTCAGATGCCCAAATCAATGTCTGTCCAAGTCAACCCCGAAACTTGCTAAGTGATATTGAACTTGAGACTTAAGGACTTCAAGAGGGACTAGCTACGATCCTGCCAGTCAGCTCAAAGACTCTTGGATATGATGACAGCAATTTTACGGTAAAGTGGATGCAGAATACGGTGACAGCACCGTGAACCAATTAGCATCTTTGAAGCTGACTACTGAGTCCATCAACGGGTCAGAATCAAACTCTTCTAAAATCAGTGCAGAGGCATCTTTATCCTTCATCTCATTACGTCCTCTAACACTGAGCGTCGGCCTGAAAGTCTATGAATTGGTTTCCAGTGAATATTTCCAGGATCTACGAACCTTTGAAACACAGCTCTCCACTTCTTTACTCCACTTCTTTACAATTGGCTCTTTTGGGTAAATACATTTGCTGATTCCTGCCTTATAAGACGCCCCTAGAATGACAGTTATTATTTGCCCTTGAATCATTAAAATGTTAAGATTTCAAGGATATCAAACCTTGCAGATAATGCCTCCTTCTCTGTGCCTGATGGAAGCCCTCAGAACAATCCGCTTAGGCACGAACAGGCCACACTGTCACCTACAAGTTCCAAACAACACACAGTGCCTGCTGGTCTTGTAATTTAAAAGCCATCATTTAAAAATCATTTTCCAAGTTGCTTTATTTGTTCAAAAGAGATGACACCCACATTATTGCATTACTGAATTTTAGGATAGAGAAGATGTATAAAAAGTTTTTTTCTAAAAAGGAAGTAATATTGTCCTTGATAAAAATCAATAGGCATCATTTTTATATTTTCTGCCTCCTAAACTGCACGTCCTGGCTCTGATGACCCTTCTATGTATTCCTGGCGTACACATTGGTTTCTCTTTCTTATGTGTGTATCTCAGCAGGCAGCACAGCAGAACGCACAGACACTGGGGCCGTGGTTGTTTGACTCCTGGCCCTGCCACCCATGAGCTACGTGCCCTCTGACAGGTCACGCACCCTCTCTGAGCCTCAGTCTCTTCATCTATAGAAGGTTGTTAGGAAATAGAACGGCGCTAATGTTTGCATAACATTTTGAGCAGTATCCAGCAAATTGCAAAGATTCTATGTTTTGTAAAATAAATAAAACCTTTTTTGTTTTCTTAGCACACTTACTTTTCATAAATTTTGTGATCTGGGGAGTATTATCTGGTTTCCAGAAAAAAATTTTTACATTAAGCGGTATCAAAGTATTTTTCAGAGCCTAATGTTACTTAGAGACTCCAAAACACCCGAAGTAGAGTGACTTTAAGTTAAACTCAGAAGCCACACATAAAAAATATCCTCAGGACTTTATTCATTTCATAAATAATGTATTTTATTTTATTGCATATGGCTATTAAGGAGAGCATCCATGATCAATACAGACTAAATACAATGCACTATTCTAGTTCCATTTATTCTCGTCTCCAGCAGCGTCACATTGACCCTTATATACAGCGTGTACAGTGGAAGACAGAGCAAGATAAGGTAAGTCTTTTGTCATATCACAATAGCAAGAAATATATTTAACATCTTGATATCCAGAAACAATACGTACCCAAAAAGAAAACACTGTTTAATAACTGTTAAAGTTTATATAGCAAAAAATATTTTAAATTTAAGGTAAGTCAGGCAAAATGTACAAAGACCCAATATACATTGTGAAGTTTTCGCAAACATAACATTTATACATTTTGGTTCCATTCTGTAAACTAAATTAAAAATGTAAATATTGCATATGCCTTTTTTTTGAAATGTACAGGATAGAGGACAATTTAGTACATTATCAACTTTGTATTTTGCTTGTTTCAAGTTGCAGTATGAACATGAACCATGTGTATAGTGGCATGACTACTCTAAGTATAGAGAACTACTGAAATACGTGTCATACACTGTAGTCAGCGGGGTCCATATTCAGTCCTATTGTCCCCGGGGGAGTTCCAGAGCAAACGCCACCCATCGATTCCTAGTCCCAAAACTAGATCAAAACTTTAGGGCATTCTATACATTTTAATAAAGTATATATATTATACACTGAAATTGACCTTCAAACTAACATCGTCTGGTCTATGCACTGTTGTGACGTGTAATTTTAGAAAAGTAAAAATTTAAAAATGTTCCGGGGGGATCACTTTACATTCAACTTTGTCTTGCAATACAATCCTCTGTTCTAAAAGTTCAGCGTGGAAGCAGGAAGACTTTTGCATTGCCATTAAATATATTTTTAAGACATTGAATTTTTTGGTCTTCCTCTAAAAAAGCCTCATTTTTATTAATGCATTATTCTATAATGATAATATACCTATATATTTATATATATTTTTCTCCAAAAGAAAACAAGAAAGAAAAAAGCTCCCATCTCCATCTCCAATGAATTAGTGTAACCTCCACACGACCCTCAGAGAAGACAGGCACCGGGACGCACCCGCGGGAGGAAAGGTCCACAGCCCTCCATCACATGCCAAGCGAGCAGCGAGATGACGTGACATTCTGCCGGTCAAGGTCAGCAGTTTTAGGTGACACCTGCAGTGATCGGCACAACACTGACGTCATTTTCAGAACACTGAAAACATGAAACAAGGGTAGGCTCGTCAGGAATTCTTCAACCAGCGATGTGCCCTGTGCGATGGTTTCTCTTCTTTTCCTTTTTCTATCAGTAGCAAAGGGGCCGGAATGCCTCTTCTGTGTTGCTTTCCTTTCCGTTGTTTTTTCTAGTTGTTGTTGTTCAGAGCAGCCTTGTTGGCCGACACGATCACGTGATAGTAAAGATCCTACATTTTTTAAAAATCTGCCAGACCCGTGACCACCATGAATCGCTGGCATGCCTACATGAATTTTTGGTTAAAGAAATGCAAGCTCAAGATTAAGGACAGCCGAGACGTCTGAGCTTGTAAATAGATCAAAGGCTTTTGCAATGTGAAGTACCTACATAAACATCTAGAGAGAGAAGATTAAACAAGTCTGTTAAAGGTAAAAAGAGAGATTCGCCCCCTGCCCACCCGCCTCCCCTCCCACCCCCACCTACCCAATACAGTTGATGATTTTCAAAAGTAGGTTGCTTCAGTTACATATAATAATTATTATTTATTAATCCATCTTCCAAGTCCAATCTCAAATTTCATTTCTATTGAGAAGAGTCAGTCCCACACTGGGCTGTCTGTGAGCAAGCACGCAGGTACCTGGACGGGAGTTCAACAAGCAGCTGTGTACGGGAACCAGTTTAATAAGGCTGATGACCACACTTGAGACACATTCTGCACAGATACACGGGAGGTCCCGCCGGCCCCCGACCACGCAAATCCGGCTTCACCTGGAACTGAGGTAGGACTGTGGTAGTTTTGAGTGTATGCCAGTAAATACCAGATTTTACCACTTTAAGGGGTGTTGGTAGAATCTCCTAGCATGCTGAGGGATAAATTTGCTTTGCCAAAATGAAAGTAAGAAGAAATTAAGACACTGGCCACAATTTAAAGGGCCAATGAAAACATCCAATTTTCTTGAGAATAACTTCTTCAGCGAACGTTGTTAAAAAAAAAAAAAACACAACACAACACAAACAGCACAAGGAGGAATGCCCCCTGACGGGAACAAAGGAGAGAGCTGGGCGTTCTTGCCTTGTTGGTTCCGTGACCAATATAGTCACAGATGTTTCAAAACGTAGTCATTGCTCAGATCCAAAAGAAAATTGTAAGCAGCTTCAGATTTTAAAAAATGCTGAGCATCTCCTGTTAATGTCATTCTCTGATGTGTGACGTCATGTGATAAAGCCAGACAGATCTTCACTCTGAAAAAGAAAGGAGAGAAGTCATCAGTGGCTGTCTCGAGAGCAGAGCCATCTTTGGAGTCAGAGGAAAAGTCCCTCTTAACTGGCCCTGATGATCTGTGTCATGTCCAGAAAGTGATGCACGTTGGGAAGCAGACTGTCCTCGGTCCATTTTCCAGAAACAAGTTCGATGGGCGAATGCTCATTCAGGTTCCCTGGAGGCAGAACTATTAGGTTTATAGTGAGTTGTGAGGTCCATACGGTGAGGGTC